TTGAAGTTATTGCCCTTTGTTTATTTTTACTTTTTGACTTTTGTTCGGGACATAACTTTAAAACTATTAGAGATATCAACATGAAACTTTGTAGGTAAGTAGATATAATTGGATAGAACTGCAATGCTTAAAGAACCTAAACAAAGCCTGGTCTAATTTTGGAGTTCTTGCCCTTTGTTCATTTTTACACTTGGATTTTACACGGGACATAACTCTGATATCATCAGGAAACTTTATAGATAGATAGATCTCATTGAATAGAAGTGCAGTGCAAAAAAAATAATTCCGCCTTGCCTAATTTTGGAGTTTTTGCCCTTTGTTCATTTTTTTTATACTTTCCTGTGTCCAGAACCTTCTCGGGGAGCATCACCCGGTTCAACCGGTTCTTGTATTCATATAGGTTTTATCTTTCCAATGATGCGAAATAATTTTATCCACATTATGATTTTATAGTTTAAGAATCTATTGCTATTCAGTGTACTTTTACGGGTTTAAGGTAGAGAACATTATATGGGTTTTTACTGTAAAGCAATTATACCAGAAACTCTTAAGTATTTTAGAACAAAATTAGCAATAGTTTCTTATTTTAGCAATTTCAAGTTGTGATATGCATATGAATATGGAATGAGAAGAGAGGTAACTCTGTAAGTTGCAGAGTTGCCTCCCTTCCATTAGATTAATTTTTATAGTCTCTTGTAATTCTGATAAGAATGGCCGTACATAAATAACTTTTACTTTGTAAAAGTATGTCATTGAATTGTTTTATGTTGTTATGTATGGATGAGACTCAAATAAAGAATATATATTTACAGTGTACAAATGCAAACATTTCAAATAAATTAGCCAATTATTGTAAGAAAGCATTTGATGTTCGAAGGAATTCATTAAATCTTTAAAAAAAAGACATAATAAATGACTCATCACTAGAATGTACTGAAACATGTATTTAAAGACAAAAAATGAATTAGAAACTAAATACCGCAATCGTTACATACATACTTACATTTATTTACATACATGAAGTAATATGACATTTTATATATATATGTATAAATTGTATACAATAATCTATTAATATGTTATATAAAATGTCACATTACTTCATGTATGTAAATAAATGTAAGTATGTATGTAACGATGAACTGTAAATGTTCAAGTTAGACAAATAAATTTTCTGTTCTGTTCTGTTCATAATAACCTTGAACATACTTCTTGTTATCATTAGGAAAATGTGTGCATTCAAAAAGATAATGAAATTCATCTCCAAGACATTTTTTGTACATAAGTTAAATATTCTAACAGCACGTTCAATATTAAGATATCGACCTTTCTCTATAGGAAACTTATAATTCATAGTTCTAAACTTACACATATAAATAGAAAGATTTTTAGGCAATATATCATAATATTCCTCAAAACTATTTTCAGCTTATAAGTTTGATACACTAAACATTGTTCAGAACTAAACACTGTACTATTTCTATTCTGTACAAACTGATCATATTGTGACAGTCTGATCTTAACTTACAATTTGAAAATCGTCACGATTGTCTACTGTTTGGGTAAGAGAGTATTCAGACCTAACCAGTTAATCTAAACATTTTTATGCCCCCGCCATATAATAGCCGGGTCATATAGTGTTACCCTGTTCCGTCAATCCGTCCTTCCGTCATTCTGTCATTCCGTCGTCATCAGTTTCCGTTCATTATCTTAGTAACGGTTACACACATTCAACTCAAATTTGACAAATGGATATGTCATGAGAAAATAAGTTCGAATTTGGTTATGGTTTGATGATTTTTGGCAGAGTTATGATAATAATATGAAATTTTCAGTTTCCTTTCATTATCTCTTCAACGGTACAACATATCCAACCCAAATTTCACATATGGATATTTCATGTGAACATACAGATCAAATTCGAATTTGGTCATGGTTCAATGATTTTTGGCAGAGTTATGCCCCTTTTACTTTGAAAATAATATGAAATTTTCAGTTTCATTCAGTTTCCGTACATTATCTCCCCAACGGTACAACACATTCAACTCAAACTTCTTGACATATGGATACGTCATAGAAATGGACAGGTCAATTTCGAATTTGGTTATGGTTAAATGATTTTTGGCAGAATAATGCCCCTTTCACTTTGAAAAAAATATAAATTTTTCAGTTTCTGTTCATTTCCTCACAAAAAGTGTTACATATTCAACTCAAATTTGACATATGGATATGTCAAAGGTATGCGCAGGTCAATGTGGAATTTGGTCATAGTTTGATGATTTTTGGCAGAGACAAACTTATTTTTTATGAATGTTGGAAAATTTTGTATTTTCAGTTTTTTAGCACTCATATTTTTGTGGAAATGTATGTAGCCATTATTTTGGCTACAAATATACAACATGCAATTTACAAAAGGTTAAGACTGAATAATTCCAGTGCCTTGACCATTGTATAAAAATGGTTTGTGTTAACATTGAATAGTTTTAAGGGCTTTGAACTTAAAATGAAAAAAAAAAATTTGTGCAAACAAATTTGGAACTAAATATTATAACATCTGAAATTTTGGCTGCATGCGGGGGCATCCGTGGCATGATGAAACATTTCAAGTTTTACAAATTCAATCCAAGGAGAATTAACTATATCAGTAACAGGTAATTTATAAGCAGTATTGTAAAGAATATTACATAGTTATTTTATTATCTTTAGAGTTAATCAGCCTACACCAACAACATAACAATCTAGCTTTAGCATATAATCTAGCTTTAGCATGTACAAGAATTGTTTTCACTCCAAGTTCACCAAAACATCATACATTTCCATCAAGTATTCACAAAAAATCATACAAGTAGGTGTAGATGGTTAAAATTTCAAAATAAATTTACAAAGTTAAAGCTGAAAGGACTGAATTAATCAAATTAATATTTTCAAAAGCCCATACCTCCGAATCACACAACAAAATACGTGTAATTAAAGAATCAAAGAGTTATACTTGAAGAGAATTTGGTAAGTTTAACTTCCTAGCCTTAGTGATTAATAAAAACGTAGCATTTCTGGCTCGATCAACAATACGTTTCTTTGATTTTAGAAAAGTTTCCATTAAAATTAAACTGGACACCAAGATAAGGAAAGTCATCAACACTGTCAGGATTACCTTTATCATAAAAAATCAAATTATTTTATTTAACTTGGATTTACTAGAAATAACAATTTTGATTTTAGCAGCATTAAAAGTTAATCCACATAGCGCACAATAATCTTGAATCGCAAATAATGCATCCTGTAAATAGCTTTGGCTTTTTGCTAAAATTACCGTGTCATCAACATACAGCATAATATACAAGCGTAAGTATACTTCAATATCACTAGTACTTAAGGTATCAAAGGTAGCTTTTGACAATGCTTCTAAACCTTCAAACTAAGAAGACATACACATTGCTAAATCATTCAAGAACAATGATAATAATACAGTAGCAAGATTTTCCCTCTGTCGAAAACCAATGTGACTAGTTTAAAAAACCAGATGAGTTATGCCAACTTTGACGCAAGATTTGGCACTGTTGTATATAATATTAATGCATTTTCCATCAATATTGTTATTTAACAGTTTGCGCCACAAGGCCAAACGATTCACAGAATCGAAGGTTTTTTTTGTAATCTATAAATGCACAAAACAAACTCTTTTTCTTAGCTAAGTAGAAGTCAATAATAAGCAAAAATATGATCTACTGCACTATATCCTTTTCTTAAACCTGCCAGCTCTTTTCACAGTACTGCCTCCGTGGCCGAGGGGTTAGAGTCGATGACTTCTAATCCAGTTACCTCTCTGGCGTGGGTTCGATCCCCGGGAGATGCTTTGGTAGTTTAGCGCGGAGGAAGGTAGTCTAGTACTGGTGTAACTTTCCAGGAACGATGGTTAGGAAACCACCCGCCTATATGACTGAAATACTGTTGGGAAAAGGCGTAAAATGAAACAAACAAACAAACAAATTTACACAGTAAATTATTATCGTCTAACAATAAGTTCAATCTATTATATAACACAGAATCTGATGTAAAAAGTTTACCAAAACAACTGATTATAGTTATACCAGGATAAGGGTCATTAGCACTACCCTGGTTTTTAAATATTGGTAAAATAACACCTTTATTCGATATTTCTGGAAGTTTTCCAGAATCAATTATAATATTAAAAAGCTGACAGAAAACAGCAATGAAGTCCTGACTGTTAAATATCTTAAATATTCATTTAAAACATTATCAAACAATAATGGTGTTTTATTTATCTTTAACTCAACATTACATTATTAATGGCTCATTCAACTGAAAATTATTACAATGCAATGTGTCAAAATTAATGTCATTAACATTATCAACGGTCTGATTGAATTTAAAAATAAATGCTTGTAAAATACTTGACTGGTAATTCTAGACACCGTATCTTTCTTTTCACTAGAGTACTCGTTTAAAAGACCGTATATGTCTCAGCTTCTTATTAACATCATTTTGAAACATGTTCATTTTCTTATTCAACTTTTTCTTATAGGCTTTACTATTTCTTACCATATGATTGTATGATTCAGCACTTCTGTGCTTCCTGTGCTTACCTGAATTGTATGATATTGATGTCTAGCATTTTTACAATCATTATCAAACCACTCCTAATTTTTCTTCTTATTAACAGAATGAGAAACTCTCTTCTTTAGTAACAAATTACAACTATTAGCTGCTTCACATAAAAAGGCAGGTACGTTTTCAGTAGCATTATTAATGAAGTCATTAGAATATGTTTTACCGGTAAATTTATCGTACAATTCATTGTTTAACTTCAAACCAGTTTCCTGACTAAAACAAGCTGAAAACTGATCTTCAACACCGTTATCCAAAATGTAATATTTCAATCAAAAGATTTCACAAAAGATTGAAATTCACATAATCATGACAAGCTATTATGTGTGACTTAAAAACTGTCCTGTTAGGCGATTGATGAATTTATATTCCAGATGTATTAACTCAACTATACTATACTACTGGCATTGGTCCATATTTCTGGATAGGAGCTAATGACAAGATGAACGAAGGTACTTTTGTCAGGGCTGATAACTCACCATTAAGGTAAACAATTTGCTACTTACTTTGTACTTTTTATTTCCAGTATAAGCCCTATTTGAGTGGTTAGATTGTGTCTCGGATGCTTTCTGTGATTTTTGCCTTGCCTTGTTGATCAATGTTGCTCACAAACATATTCTTTGGTCGGTAAAAAAGGCTCCCCGTACTTTCAATCATCAGTAATTGTCTCCTGCATTTACAAAAAAATAAGGGAAATAAAGAAATGAGCTCCGTCTGTCTGTCCGTCCGGATTTGTCCTGTCTATTTTGCTCATTCTCTGAAGGATACAATTTTGTTACAAATGTTCACCATGGTAAGGTGGTATGTCTCACAAAAACTAAGGTCCGCCGCTCAAAGGTCAATGTGAAACTTGGGAGCCGTCGCAAATCTTGTGTCCGAAGCGTAACTTCTATTTGCCTACAGGGATTTTGATATAACTTAGAACAAATGTTCTCAATGGTGAGACGGAGTGTTGCATGAACAATTAAGTAGTCTGTCTTAAAGGTCAAGGTCACACTTAGGGTTTAAAGCCAAATAACCACAAAAACATTCATTTGCTAGTATAACTTCTATATACATGGATATATTTTAATATAACTTAGAAGAAATGTTCTTTGAGTTGAGTTTTTTTGTCAAGGTCACAAAAGGTCAAATAAAAATATTACAATTTTGTCCGGTCTATATCTTATATTATATGCTTATTCTTTAAAGGAGTTCAAATTAATTTCAAATTAATTTAATACAAATGTTCACCATGATAGGATGGTGTGTTGCACACAAGACCCAAGTCTGCTTCTCAAAGATCAAGGTCACACATGGAAGGTCGGCGAAAAACTGTGTCCGGAGCTTAACGTCTACATGCGTGGCGGGATGTTAATATAACTTTGGACAAATAAAGGTTTTGTGTCAAAAGTCAAGGTGTTACTTTAAGGTCAAAGGTGAAATTACAAATTAAAACATTTATTTGTGGGTATCACTTCTATATACATGGATGGATTTTAATATAACTAAGAATTTGTTTCTCTGCACTGTATCTTGCTTTTGCCTTGAAGTATTATGTTTGAAGTATTATGCTTAGTGGTTAGTGGACTTTTGTCGGGCCCGCTTTTTCTGAGCTTGACAAAGTTTTCAAAATGGATGGTGTGTGTGTGTGTTGGTGTGTGTGTGTGTGTGTGCGTGCCTGTGTGCGTCCAAAATTGATCATGCCAAAACTTCTTCGTATATGGAGGAATTTCTTATAACATGAATGAGTTTTTAGGCACAAATGTTCATCATGAGACATCGTTTCATGCACACGAATCAGGTCACTGGGTCAGAGGTCAAGGCCACTTAAGATGATTCAAAGTCAAGACTTTGCCTTGGGTAAATCACCTATGTATACATCTTTCTCCTTGATCTGAAGCTTATAGGTTCAGGTTTGAATGAATACGAGCGGGCAAACCTTGTATTTTTCTCAATGCTCACACTCGGACCTACAAACAAAATTTATCCCGTTTTCATGATTAAACCATACAGTAAAAGTAAACGTTTTTACGCCCATTTCGAAAACGGGTCGTATTATAACGGCGTACACTTTTGTCCGGAGCATATCTTCTTAACGCATGGAATATTTTTGATAAAACTGTTGAAAATTATGAGAAGCCGTGTCGTGCACATAAAACAGGTCTATAGGTCAAAGGTCAAGGTCAAACTTTGAGGTCATTGTAAAACGCTTGTCCGGAGCAAATCTTCTATATGCATGGATGGGTTTCAATATAACTTGGCACAAATGTTCACTATTGTGAGGCGGGATGTCGCACCTAAAACTTTGGTCCCTTCGGCCAAGGTGAAGAGTGCACAGAGGGGTCAATGTTCAGATAGAAATATTAAAATGTGTATCCGCACCCTTTGGTCATTTATTTTGGGATTGAAACACAAATTGTTATTATCTTGTCTACTGGTGTGAAACATGTAATTTAGGTTTATATATGCAAAGTCGAGACCTCTAGGTCAAGGTCACGCTTAGAGGTCATTGAAAAAACAATTTTCTAGAGCAAAATAATACTTGCTAATGTTTCCATTACTTGCCCGACCACTCAGCTATGTATGTACTTGTAATTTGAGTGTAAGTCTGAAGATAATGAGTAATTCTTAAGCTAAGCCTTTGGCAAGGTACACATTCCTTATTGCACATGAAAATAAAACATTTAGAAACACTGTACTATCTCTGATTCATATGGAGAGAGAAGTTTGCATTTATTGTTCTCTGTTAATCAACAGAAATATTATAAGAAAGCGGTGTTAAACCCATAATAAGAAAAATAAGAAACATAAATTATATATTTCAATAGATGATCTCTTGTATTGTTAATGTGCTGAAAAACTAAAATAACAAAAAGGAGCTCCGCCTGATACTCGAACCAACAAATGCTTGCACACAAGGCGAACACTCAAAATCTTTAGTGAATTTCTTTTTATTTTTACTCTGTGGTTGTTTTACACTTTCACCTCAATTCATTTCTCAAAAAGATCTGGACGACCGTGTAAAAGTTTTCTTTAAACTCTTATGGAATGTTAAACGCTTTCGCTTTGCTTACCTGACATTGTAGTTTTTATGTAATCATATAAGATCATGTGACAGCATCTGTATTTTTACTGAACACTTTCGTTCGTATTAAAATATATTAGGTACGTATGGTCCGTCCATGAGTCTTAACCCATTCCCTCATGAGCATATTGTGAAAAATGGCCATTTTCATTGAAAAACCTCTTGTTACAAGTTCAAACTGCTATGAAACTATAAAAAATGCTTTAATACTAATCAAACTTGGCACAAAATTTATTTCAAAGTGCTGCAAATTCTCAAGGGATTTAGATAGAGTTAAAGGCTTTTCAGTGTTGGTTATTTTTAGCGTTTCACAAGTCCAAATTATTTTTAGCGATGAGGGGGACTATCGCCCCCTTCAAACTGCCCAAACAGAATCTTTTGGATGGGGGGGGGGGCGGCAATGAAAAAGTGCTCACTTTTTTAGCAACATTTCTCAAACCAAAACATGTGTTTGGGGCCCAAATAGGACATTTTTTCACTATGTGAGGCCTAAAAGAGGGGGGGGGGGGGTCGAAAGTGCGTTGTTTCGCGTATTATATGATGTAAAGGGTTAAGTACCATTTCCCGTTTTAGTTGATAGGCTGATTATGTAAACCTTAATTTGCATTGAGTTTGACCATTATTATCACTTTGATCAAACTTCTCAGACATTATTACATTAATTACAAATTATTTTAATTAAACATTTCTTTTGTTAATAATACTAAAGTATAGTCTGATTTTATTGACCTGTCAATTATGAATACATTATAGGACTCATTTAAATATTCGATCCCACTTCGGTTTGGTCCGTGTAGTTTACGAGAATTAATGTGGAGTATATTGTCATGGATTGAAAGTCACGCCAGCTTAATGTGAAGGTTTTCGTTAATTCACAATAGGACAGTCGATAAAGAGAATGCCTGATAATTGAGAGGCCTGTGGTTCGATCCTTACTGTTGCCATTGTTTTAGTACTCTTTCTTTATTTTTGCAGTATATTTTAATGGAACAGATTTGTAGTGTGTGTGTTTTACGGCATTGAAAAGATATTTATTGAGTTGAATCCGTTTTAATTTTAAACATGAATTCTTAAAAAACATGTTACTTAAAAAGAGTATATACATAACAAAATTAAGTAAAACATAATACTAAAAAAAGAACAACATAAAATAATCATATATAGATTCAATAATGTTGAAAGTATTAATAAGAAAAAAAAACATGGACAAACGCGGCCTCGAACTTGAAACACGTGTGGCACTTAGATAATAAACTCGTGATTTACCCTATTGCGCTATAACGCTGAGTATACTTAGTTTAGAGATACAAATTAAATTTAATTCTATCGTACAGCGTACATCTCACGAAACTTACCGAACATCTACCGAAGATTAATATACTGTGTGCATCGACCGTGTAATCAGTATGTAATTGAAAGGTTAATAAAACCAAACAATAACTGAGCTTTTTCCCGCTGTCTTTGTGTCAGTCGTTTATTAAAAAAGGGCTTCTGATTGTTTTTAAAGGCACAATGCATGCATGGCGTTCAACCATATACAATTGGATGCTTCATTTTCCTCTTGTTTAACATCTGACATACCGAGTGGAAAAATCTATATGCTTCCAAATTTGAGACATGGGTACCTTTAGTGGTCCTCTTACTTTTTTGGAGTTATGGGGTCACTGGAGGCAAGGTTATGGTAACTGGTGTACAAATATTATTTTTACATTTTTGCTTATACAGCCTTTATTTCTGAATTGATGTATTTCGTGTTTAATATGGACTTGTCTATGCAGGTAATCTTTCTTTGGGTTAACGTAAGGGTTCATTTTGGTCAAGGTCAAGATAATCGTTGCCAAAAATAGATTTTTACGCTTTTAAGGTGACCGGTAGATTTATCTGTTGACAAATTTCTCTCCTCATGTTTGGTAGGAACATAACTTGGGAACTTTTCTACATTTGGATAAAGTAAGGGGTCAGTTGGTAAGTTCTCAAAGCCTTTGGAACTAAATTGTTACATTTTTCGTCTTTTGCCTGGCTTCTTCGTGTCGGTGTAGATTGTTTTTTTTTCTACCTTCATTTAAGACATTGTGTACTTTTGTTATGTTCATTGGTGTGTATCTTTTTATATCTGTATTGAGATAATTATTTGTGTTTTACTTATTTCGTCTGATGTAGGCATACATAAGAAATTCACAGTATTGTCATATAGGAACACTTGTGTATTGGAGCTAAAGGTGAAGATTTGCGCGCCTACAACCGATTTTAACTCCCCATGAGTAATTTTACTACTAAACGTTCCTAGATGTTTAAGCCGTTATCATTTATGTTTTTGCGTACTGTTGTGACACGTTTTGTGATGTCTATCTTGTAAAAAATTGCCGTCAGTGGTATTTCTTTTTCATCAGCCTCTCGTTTCCAATTCCCCCACTGCCTTTCCTCTTTCCCTTACACATTTCATCCTTCATTATCTCTGTCGTTTTTAACTTCTTATTCATTGATTAATTTTCTTAACAAACGTTGATGGTAAAATTTAGTGATATGTCCGTGTCTTGGTTCGGTGACATTCTTATGTCGGCGGCTGTATGCTTTACACCTTTCATAGAGAATAGAGATAAAAGGTAAATTTATTGATACCCTATGATGTAGTCATTACGTTAGGGTAATGGTTAATATATGAATATATTTGAATAATAATTGGACCGTCGGCTGACTGCTTAAGACAGGTTTGACGTTTTCATGGTATATGCATTTGATTGAACATTATCTTGTTAAACATCTTCAGCGAGAAATAATTTACATTTGATGATTTGGTGCTACCAATAATAAATGTCTACTGATCGTTAATATTATAATTGTACATATATTTTGTTTGTATTTATATCACATGTATTGTCTTTGCCATAATGATATATTTGTTTATGTTCAGATGAATGCCAATAACCTTTGAATTTTGAACTTTTGATAATTGTTAATCATTGTGGATCTGGTTTTACCGTTGTGGATAAGGATAATACCATGAAAGATTGGTTTACTGCAGTTATATTTTTTCGGATCACTTTACCTTTTTGTATATTGTGGTAGTTTTTATGCCCCCGGGCATATAGTGATTGAACCGTCCGTCCGTCCGTCTGTCCGTACGAGGTTAACCTAGAACGGCAAGTTGGATTTTTCTTAAGTTCTACCTGTACCAATGGCTTCTAAGTTTACACACTTACTAATCAATACAAAGTACACGATCTGGGCAAGTTTCATAACTCTGGCTTTCATATTTACCAAGTTATTGCCCTTTTCAGCACTTAGAAAATGAATAATGGTTAACCTAAAACGGCAAGTTGGAAATATCTTAAGTTCTATCTATACTAATGGCTTTATAATTTCCACACTTACTTATCAATACAAAGCACATGATATTGCCAAGTTATATAACTGTGTCATCCATATTTCCCAGTTATTTCCCTTTTTTCACTTTGAAAATAGGGCCTTGTCTGGTTAACCTATTTCGGCAAGTTGGATTTATCTTAAATTTCTCCTAATTGCTTAATTTCTTTACTGATATATTTCATATTTAGTAGGTGGATACCTTTGATAATCCTCTAATTTTTTTAGAGTAAGCGGTCTCTAGGGTCAAAGTCAGAGCAATGACTTGGCAACTTATATTTTTCACAATTACAAAATGCCATGACTTTGTCAAGCTATAAAACTTGTGTTTACAATTTTTTGGTGATTTTTCTGTCCATAACTGAGTGAATGGGTAAACATTTATGAAGTATTGCTACTGACAAGAATCTGAGCCGGGGGCATTTGTGTTTAACAAACACGTTCTTGTTTCCACTGTTTTTGAGTACTTATAAATGAATATTTTAAGCTTGAATACTTTCAGTGGATTTCTATTTTCATTGCCATGCCTTCATCTTTTTGGTATCAGTTTATTAAAATGTTGAAATAATCTTGATTAAAGTGGGTAATGTGTATTCTAGTGTTACTAATTGGGGCCCGGGAGAACCGAATAATGCAGGAGGAGTTGAAGACTGTGTTGAACTGTATATGCCGCAGTATTTATGGAATGATAAAGGATGCGGCAACGGACGGTACCCTATCTGCAAGAAACGTTATTTTCCTTACTGTATTTTAGCTTTAATATTCTTAAATCTTTCTTATCCAATTTTTACAATACAATACTAAGAAAAGTGGAGCAAATAAGTATCTCTTGTTTTCAAATAAAGTATTGGGAAGAAAGGAGCATTGTCAATAATACATCAGCTACATATAAAAGTAAGCAGAATACACTCAAGATGTTTTAATCAAATATACAAATCATATGAAACCATAAAATAAATAACAATCTCCAAACAGAGTCGCTAATGTTGGATTCTATATGGCGACTACAACATAATTTCGTTCAAAAAGATTAACTTGAATCAAAACTATTGCTTTAATGTAATAGATAAATAAAGAATCCCTAAAGAAAGACCAACACGGCAAAATTGAAAATGTTGCAGGCTCGGTTTGATTGAGCCTGTTCATGGACGGTACTGGAAAATACATGTATACAACGAGAATTGTCAAGTTATCTTTGTCTGCGCCTACGCCGATGGTCCGTGCCATTTTTACGAGCACTAAATGGCAAGACGTTGGTACATGGAACCACTATTATAGGAAAATTATTAGTAAGTTTTTTAAGTGACATACACTGGCTAGTTGTACGTCCGAAAGAATTTCGACGAATATTGTTATGAATCTGGTCGTCCGTCCGTCTGTCTGTTTTTTAATGTTTCGTGTCCGGTCTGTATCTTTTTACACAAAATATAATTATTACTTAGATGGCTTCCTTTTCAAGACCGGGGTCACACTGACTTATTCCAAATACTTATGTAATTGGCATATATTACAAAGGGAGATTACGATGTATGAATTAATTAATATTTTTTCTCTAAATACTTATGTATGTTATCTTACAATATTTCCCAATATCTTTTACTTTATATTGGTTTTTTATCAAACTTTTGATTTTTTTTATCTTTATGCCCCGTGTATACAGTAATTAAATCGTCCGTCCGTCTGTCCGCACGAGGTTAAGCTAAAACGGCAAGTTAGATTTTTCTTAAGTTCTTCCTGTACCAATGACTTCATAATTTACACACTTACTAATCAATACAAAGTTCATGATCTGGGTAAGTTACATAACTATGGCTTCCAAAAGTTATTGTCCTCTTCAGCACTTAAAAAATGAATGTTTAACCTGTGAATCGGCAAGGTCTATCTATACATATGGCTTCATAATTTGCACACGTACTTATCAATACAAAGTACATGTTATTGCTATATTATATAACTGTGTTATCCATTTTTTCCCAGTTATTTCTTTTTTATCATTTTAAAAAAGGGTCTTGTATGGTGAACCTATTTCGGAAAGTTGGATTTATCTTCCTCCTTATGACTTCATTTATTTAATGCTATATTTCATTAGGTAGGTGGATACCTTAAATGTTTTTCTGAATTTTTGTAGACGTTGGGGTCAAGAACAAGGTCACTGGTGTAAAAATTAATTTAAACGTTTTGCTCACCTAACCTTTACTTTTAAGTGTTAAATACAAACATGCCAAGGGAGGACCTCTTTCTCTGGGTGTAGTTTGGTTGATAATTTGCATCTGTTGCATTAAGATAGGGGCCAGTTGGATCAAGGACACATGTGCTAAAAATAGATTGTAGCCTTTTTATGGACATATGTCTTACAAATTTGGTATGAAGATAACTTTGCATGCAAGACTTCCTTTCGATTGTAAGTTGATCGAGGGGCCACTTATAGATTAATACACATTTGCTTATACAGCCTTTATTTTACTGATGTTTTTTATGCTCTCCGAAAGGTGAGCATATAGTCGCGGCTTTGTTCGTCTGACTATCCGTCCGTCCGCTATTCTTGTCCGGGACATACCTTTGAAACAACAAGAGGTATCAACATGAAACTTTGTAAGTAGATAGATCTCGTTGAGTAAAAGTGCAGAGCAAAAGAACCATTACTCATTCTTGCCTATTGTTGAAGTTATTGCCCTTTGTTTATGTTTCCACTTTGAACTTTGCCCGGGACATAACTCTAAAACTATAGGAGGTATCAACATGAAACTTTGTAGGTAAATAGATCTCATTGTGTAGAAGTGCAGTGCTAAAGAATTATAACTCTGTCTTGCCTTATTTTGGAGTTATTGCCCTTAGTTCATTTGTATACTTTATACTTTCTGTCTCCAAAACCTTCTCGTGGAGCATCACCCGGTTTAACCGGTTCTTGTTAAAGGAAGGAGTCACATTGGTTAAGGTTAAGTTTACTTGTGTTTAAAAAATTGCTCGTACATTGCTCATACTGCTTTTTAAAATTGATGCGTTTTTATATCCCCGCACAACAAAGTTGTAAGGGGGGTATACTGGAATCAGCTTGTCCGTCCGGCCGTCCGGCTGTCCGTCGATTTTTTCTTGTCCGCCCAATAACTTAAGATTACTTTGACCCTTAGTCTTCATATTTGGCATGGAGGTTAGTCATGATTAGTAGATGACCCCTATTGATTTTGAGGTCACTAGGTCAAAGGTCAAGGTCACAGGGGCCTTGACTTCAAAAAGCTTGTCCGCCCAATAACTTAAGATTCCTTTGACCCACAGTCTTCATATTTGGCATGGAGGCAAGTCATGATTAGTAGATGACCCCTGTTGACTTTGAGGTAACCAGGTCAAAGGTCAAGGTCACAGGGGCCTTGACTTCAAAAAGCTTGTCCGCCCAATACCTTAAGATTCCTTTGACCCACAGTCTTCATATTTGGCATGGAGGCTAGTCATGATTAGTAGATGACCCCCCCAATTGACTTTGAGGTAACCAGGTCAAAGGTCAAGGTCACAGGGGCCTTGACTTCAAAAAGCTTGTCCGCCCTATAACTTAAGATTCCTTTGACCCACAATCTTCATATTTGGCATGGAGGTTAGTCATAATTAGTAGATGACCCCAATTGATTTTTAGGTCACCAGGTCAAAGGTCAAGGTCACAGGGACTTTGACTTCAAAAAGTTTGTCTGCCAAATTACTTTAGATTCCTTTGACCCACAGTCTTCATATTTGGCATGGATGTTGATCATGATTAGTAGATGACCCCAATTGATTTTGAGGTCACTGGATCAAAGGTCAAGGTCAAAGGGACTTTGACTTCAAAAAGTTTGTCCACCCATTAACTTAAGATTCCTTTGACCCACAGTCTTCATATTTGGCATGGATTTTGATCATGACTATAAAGTGACCCCTATTAATTTTGAGGTCACTGGGTCAAAGGTCAAGGTCACAGGGACCTTGACAAAAAAGCTTTTCTTCTCAATTGCTAAAGAATGTCCTGTCCGCAATGTATTGATTTTGACATTTTCACATTTGAAGCATGTAGAATACATAACTTAGCAATGCACTGGCAGGGAGGTTGTCCTTGAGCTCTAAATGGCCACTGTTGATTCTAACAAAGTGATATGCGGGGGTATTCACGCCATGAAAGTGGCAGTTCTAGTTTATACTGGCATGTCTAGGGAGGTCCTCCTCCTTTGGGTTTAGTTAGGGGTCATTTTGTTTGTACAGACTTCATTTTTGACTGATTTTCTCATATTTGTAGGTTATAACTTGCTCTCCTTCTTTTGGATTGAGTTAGGGTTCAGTCGGATCAAGGTCTCTAAAAATAGATTTTAACACTTTTGCACAGAAAGCCTTTATGTATGGACATATGTTGTTCATATTTAGTAGGAAGATATTTTGCATGTTATTCGTTTTGGATTGAGTTAGTGGTCAGTTTGTCAAGGTCAAGAGTGCTCTTAATAGATGTCCACACATTTGCTAATACAGTCTCTTTTTCGACTGATTTTCTTATAGGATGATGTATTGCTTAATCTTTTTCCTTTGGATTACGTTATGGTTCAGTTTTGTCAAGGTCACCAGTGATTTACATAGATTTTTAGCTCGACTATTCGAAGAATATGAGAGCTATTGTAGTCGCCCCGGCGTCGGCGTCGGCGTCCGCGTCGGCGTCTGCGTTGGTTAAAGTTTTTTGTAAAGTCAAATATCTCATTTATTACTTGAGATATTCAATTGAAACTTACAATACTTATTTATAGTAACAAGGTACATCAGATTGACAAGTTGGATAACTCTGCCTACAATATTGACAGAATTATGCCCCTTTTTAACTTAGAAATTTTGGTTAAAGTTTTTTCTAAAGTCAAATATCTCAATTATTGCTTGAGATATTCAATTGAAACTTACAATACTTATTTATAGTAACAATGTACATCAGATTGACAAGTTGGATAACTCTGCCTACAATATTGACAGAATTATGCCCCTTTTTAACTTAGAAATTTTGGTTAAAGTTTTTTGTAAAGTCAAATATCTCAATTATTGCTTGAGATATTCAATTGAAACTTACAATATTTATTTATAGTAACAAGGTACATCAGATTGACAAGTTGGATAACTCTGCCTACAATATTGACAGAATTATGCCTCTTTGGAACTTAGAAATTTTGGTTAAAGTTTTTTTGTAAAGTCAAATATCTCAATTATTGCTTGAGATATTCAATTGAAATTTAAAATGCTTTTTTATAGTAACAATGTACATCAGTTTGCAAAATTGCATAACTTTGCCTGCAATATTTGCAGAATTATTTGCCCCTTTGAAACTTAGAAATTGTGGTTAAAGGTTAAAGGTATTCAAAGATATTTACTTGAAACTTTACACATGCACTTAGGGTCATAATTGGAGGGTCATAATTGTATGTCACTGACCAAGTTCCATAACTCTATCTTGCATTAAGGCTGATTCATATCCCCTTTTCTACTTAGTCTCTTGGTTAATGTTTACATACACGTTTTACATATCTCAATAACTATTAAAGATATTTATTTAAAACTTCACATATGCATTTAGGGTCATAATTGTAGGTCACTGACAAAGCTCCATAATTCTATCTTGCATTTAGGCTGATTTTTCTCCCCTTTTTCAACTTACAAATTCATGGTAAAGTTTTGCTTGTAAGCTGTTATCTCAATAACTACTGAAGGGTTTGTGCCTTTTTTGGGACAATTTAATGCATT